ATTCCAGCCTTATGCTTAGGGAAAGGCAAGAGCTATCAGTCCTGAATTCTAGTCTGTCAGTGTTTTTCTTCAGATGTTACTTAAACTGGTGTTCCCTCTGCCTGCCTACAGGATTACATCTATGGTGGCCACAAGGCAAACAGGAATGCTGCCCTTAAACTGAGCTGGTTGTGAGCTGTTGTAGAAAAGTGGTAGGCTGGATTTCAGGACTTATGAAACCTTTACAGAAGGTTTCTGAAACTTTGAATGAAAAAGTTTCCTGGGAATTCAGCTAGTCATGACCTCTCTACAAGTACCTACCTAATGTCATATACCTGGAGTCTCTTTTTTTATTATTTTAAGTAATGTGTGAGGGAAGTGGAAAAAGAAAAAATCAAAGATATCTTTCAGTTATGTTGTCTCCAAGAAACTCTCAAACACTGCACAGAACAATGTCTAAAGGCAAAAGAGGCCCCCAGACAAAACAGGCATGTCTCTGTACCCACAGCAGAACCACGCAGGAATATCAAACTGAGTGGAATTGATATTCAAATAAAGAAGTGTGTTTATGTTGGAGAAGCCAATTTACATTGATGTTGTGGTACAAGTCACCTGCCAATATCAGGTATAACTGTGCAATAAGGTCTCATCTGGAGGTACAGTTGATTCTCAGATGTTTGAAGCATTGTTTAGTGTTCTGTTACTGCTTTTTCCCCCCATGAACACTTGTAAGAAAGGACAAAACTAATGCTCTGACAGAACTGTCTAGCAAGCAATGGTTTGTGATACGCAATTGTTTTTCAAGAAGAGACTGTTGCAAGGAGAGTGAGTGTTTGTCTTTTTGCAGTAATTCATTGATTGCCTTGTAGGGGAGAGTGGTGTTCATGCATCCTTTAAGATAAAATGAAATGTAGGTTCTGCCCGAGACTGGCCCCCAAACAAGAAATTTGTATCTTTAGACTTAACATCCTGTGTAATGGAGAAGTCAAAGTAATTCAAATAGCTTTTTTTGTGTTCATATAGATAGCCACTAAATGCAAAATGTGTGCAGTAATATTTGAAACTGATAGTTCTTGATTATTTTTTTTTTAACATTGTTCAATGTGAATTTTGACTCCTTTTCAGCTGATCCAGTATTTTTAGCTAGATTCCATTGATGCAGAAAGCAGTGACGAACTATACTGGTGATGACTCTGAGGAAGAGTCTAAAAAGACTAAAAAGTTTTATGATACTTATGGGGATTGTTTAAGTTCCTGGACATACACTACATAATATTCAGCTTCATTTCCTTCACTTGAAGTATATTTGTGAATAGGGTACAGTCAATTTTAGAAGTGCTCTCCATACTGCTGCAGAAACAAAACAGAGTGCCCTCTGCTCTGAGGAGAGATGCTGAGAACATGCTGCACCATAGTGAGTGCTCAGCTGTTTTTTTGGATCAAGGCCTGCTCATGAAGAGGCATGCGGAAGCATAAACCAGAAGTAATACAGCCTAAAGTAAGGCAGAATCAGAGAAGCAGTAGCTGTTATGACTAGAATGATAATTAAGAGCTGGATTCCCTGTTGTCAGTAGAACAGTGTACATTTGTACCAGAAGTGCAAGAAGAATTAAACTGAAGAATTTACCACAGACATTTCAGATTAGATGGATGAGATTAGACTGTTTTCACATTGGCTGGCAAGGACTGACCCAATGTCTGTCCTGCTTTACAGCCTTCTCCACGCTATAACCCACAGATGTTAAGTTTGCTTTAAAGCATCTTCCCTTGCATTGTACTTTTAGTCATACATTGTGAGCCACATTTTTCACAAATATCTTGAGAACACTGCCAGCAAAAGATCTGGTCACATCCTCTGCCTATACCTGGGTGTTCATTCCTGTCTCTCTGCCTCTCTTCCTTTTCCCTGGAACTTCACTATGAATTCTATTAAAAAACCTCTCTAGACTGAAAGTGGGGCAAAATCTGAGTTACTTGGCTTTAATTTACTCCTACTGGGAACTTAGATTCTGTACAGCTTAACCTCTTTTATTGCCATCCATGGGATTTAAGCAGGTATTAAAAAACTGAGTTTGTTTGGTTCTTTGTCATGCAAAATCATTTCAGTATGAATTTTATTTGTCCCCATCTATGTTCCTACTCTATTTTCTGTCCAACTAAATAATTGCAAATTTTATAACTTGATTGTCTCACATGAAGAGCTTTTCTGCAATGGTCAGAAGGACAGATGACTTTGATCTGTTGGGATTTTTTAGCATTGTCTGATACCAAATAGACTATTCAAATGCTAATAAAATAACCTACATGTTAAGCACTTAATTAAGATATATAAATTTCCTCCCTTGTTCCCTCCTGCAGTTATTTAAGTCTGTCTGGCAGTACAAAAATCAGTGATGGAGTGCTAAATAGCTACCTCTGCAACCAAATGGGGAAATTTCCTTTTTTGAAATTGAAGATTCTTATATCTGTTGTAACCTTGTCAGGTCTCAAAGTGAACTCAAACAGTTCTTGATACCAGGAGGTGAAGCTTAGCTACCTGTATAATTGCATCAACATTGAGCAACACTATTTTTTTGCTTAGATTAGGATGTGAGATTCCCCAGACTTGCAGGCCCGTTTAAAAGCCATGATGATGCTTTGGATTCATCCTCAATGAAATATGAGCTTCCGCTTGTCTATTTTTAGAATATCGCTTTTGACACTGCTACTGTTTTTGACCTCCTGTGTGCCATAACTTTATAAACCAATTTTTAGGACTTGAGACTAATGCCTACGCTCAGTCTATCACAGTGATGTGCTGAATGAGATCTTATATTATGCATATAATAACACTGGGAGAGTGCTATGCTCTGCCTTTTTTTTTTTTTTATTTAATCTAGAATGCCTGTGATCACAAGAAAAACAAATCCAGTTATTTCCTGTGACAGAAACACTAATAACCTAAGTTCAATAATAAATGGGCAAGTTAAAAAAAATTAACTGCTGTAAGAAAAGCAGTTCTTGGGAAAGTTTGTGGGATGTTGATGTTTTGGACAATAATAAGACTGCCTCAGTCTTTATGAAATAAATAGCAGTGGTCATGGCTCTGGTTGAACTGTTTTCCATTGGACAGCGGTGAAGTGCTGTGTAGTTTTGTAAGTGTACTGAAATATGTAGTCATTAAGTAATAAGCACAATATGAAGCTGGTGCTTTAGGCTTATGTGAGTTATAGTGCCGTTCTTAAATGGAGTAAGAGCCTTCAGTGGAGATTTTTAATATCTTGCTAAGAATGAGAGAAAGATTGATCAGGTAGTCCAGAGAGATGAAGTGATGCCAGCATAGAGGAGGGCTTATCAGAAATTGAGAAAAGGGACATATTTCTTACATATATGGAAGCAATTGTCAGAAAAGAGATGTGGGGTAGGGGAGAAGCAAGGCTCCAGCAGCCGTATCGCCCTAGGATCCTGTCCTTCCCCTAAAGCATGAGTGATTGCTGCACCAGTTCACTTACTTATTCAGTGCAAAAATAAACAAAAGGCTGCTCCGTAGATAGAGGACAGGAAATACCTTAACTAGTGATTGCATAAGCTGCTACCAAGGCATGTATGTGTATCCTGTTGCTTTTTATGGTTTCTCAGCTATAAAATATAAGTAATAATGCTTAAATTACATATTTTCAGTGTTGTGTGAGTTAATCAGATAATGCTATGTAGGCCTCTGAAGATGAAATGTGTAATGTAAGTGTTGTATAAAGCTTACTAAAGGTTTCCATCGGGTATTTGGAAGCACACAGTAAGTGCAGGCACAGGAGAGCTGGGAAGCATAAGGCAGAGGCACTGGGGTTGGCTTACGTGCATGTTGACTTCAGTCAAGCAACAGAATAACACATCCACACAAATTTGTCCCATGCTGACAAGACCTGCAGACTGGCACAGCATGTAGGCGCTTCTGGACTAAAGCTTTTAGTCTTTCACTGTCTAACTTTCTCCTTTGGGAATCTTTGCTTTGTATGCGTTATAGAATAAGTGGTGAAGAGGAGAAATTGAAACGCAAGCTCTGTTGGCTTGGTATTTCTGACCCAAGACACATGGCAGTAGTGGGTCAGATGCCAAGGTAGCCTGGACTTTAAAGGAAAAAATAGAAGGATGGAGATAGATGTACACTACTCCAGGAGCTTGAATTTTAATATCAGTAGTTGTGTGATGAGCTGAACTGTGGTAGGGTGAAAACTGTTGCTTACTGAAGCATTTTAGCAAAGCTTGAAGGATGGATTAGTCAGAAGCATTAATGCTAGCCCCTTTTTGCTATTTTGTTTACTTCCTTGTTTCCCCAATGGATATTTGTCACTGATGTGTACAGTGACTTTATCCTCTAAAGATCTCCGAGGGGGTGTTGTCTCTTAGCTAGCATAACTACCTAACTTTTCACCATTATTTACTAACAAAAGGGATTCCATTGGTAACTAAGTAAAGATTTTTCTTTGAAAGAATTTTTGGCTGCTTGTCATGTGTTTTGCAACTGAGCAACATCACGGCACATTTCATTTGTCACCAGTGTCCACAGATTCTGTTATGGTGCTTGAAATAGGAATTAGCATTTGGGTCTTAGAGTGACTTAGATGAATAAATTATATCTTACTGGAAGGTCAAATGAAAGTAATGGGGACTGACAAATCCACCTGGTGAAGAAGTACAGGAACACATACTGATGCCAGATCAGCATTGCTTAACAATTACAACAACAGAATTAAAAAGTAGAAGCTGTTGCTATGTCTTTGAAGTCTTTTTCTGTACAGGTCATGTTTTTAATCTGTGGCTGAAAGACTTGAAAAACTTTAGGTCTATAATGAAGTAGTCTATCTTTTCATGTGAATAGATTTTTACTTCTGTTTGAGCAGTATGTCTTTTAGTGTTGCTTCCAAATAACTGAATCATGCACTGAACTCCAGTTAGGGATTTTTTTTCCCACAGATTTAAGACTAAAGTTTACTATTCTTTTTTTTCTCAAATTGAATGTATTATTACTTAAACAAGATTAATTTATTTTCTCTAAAATTTGTCTTGCAGATCTTAATATCTCAAGACATGTATTTCCTTGGACTGTTGTCTTTGCTTGCTTTGCAAAGCAAAGCCTTCAAGATAAATTTTCCTGATGAAACCATTGCTGAGCTTTCTGTGAATGTTTACAATCAGCTACGAGTAGCAAGAGAAGATGAGAATATTCTTTTCTCTCCTCTGAGCATCGCAATAGCCATGGGAATGGTAGAGCTTGGAGCTCATGGAACCACTCTGAAAGAAATTCGGCATTCGTTGGGTTTTGACAGCTTAAAAAATGGTAAGTCCTTTTAATCATGTTTTACTATGGAGCTTTTTATCTGAAATAAACACGGCAATGCCTGAACAGTGATGGAAGTGGCCCAGTCATGTCCATGGGTTATTAATCTGTAGGCTTCTTGGCATCCTGTTTAATGGCCTGAGCATGCTGAAGCATCCTTTAGTGGGTTCTGCATAAGCTGAGAGATGAGAACATCAGGTGCTTGGCTTGGGCACCTGAATTTGCACTTGAGCAACCTGAAGAAGTTGCAGGTAACTGTTGATCTTGGTTTCTGTCTGCGAAATAAGCTTGCCTTTGCCTTGAGAGTTATAAGAAGATTTTTAGAAACATCTGATTATAACGAAGCTGGAAAAGGAAAGTAGTAGCTCCAGGAATATTGCTTGAAGAAAATATGAAAAGCATAGTAATTTAACTGAAAATGTCTCTTTTACACAAATTGGTTCTTGTAGGTAGAACCTGTAGGTTCTTTACCCTGATTCTGTGTTACTAATGTTCTTTCTGCATTGCATATATACAGATATACAAGCTAATCAGCTTGTATATATAGCCACAAGCTGTAAGCGTTGTGGCTATTTCAGTACAATATGCCATGTGTTCCCATCAGCCTTTCTGAAGAAGCACAGGTGATGTCTGGCTGTGGAGACTACAGCACGTATTTGGTTCCACAGTGTGTCTCTAAAACATTAATAAATTATCCCTTAGCACAAGACATACAAGTGTGACTTGTAAGAATGATTATTTTATTTATTTTTTTTTTAATTCCTCTTTTGATATTGAAAGAATTACTGTTGATAACTTTGTCTGTGATGGGATTCAAATGTCTCATTAATTATGCTAATTATAGATAATAGAAAAAATAACATGTTCTGCCTTGTAGATTGGTCTTTCAGATCTCAAGGTGTTTGGAAAAAAAGACTGCGAACTTCAGCAGAAAAAAACCCTTCCTTTTCTGAAACAGAAAATCTGTTTTTCTTTCCTCAGGTGAAGAGTTTACCTTCTTAAAGGACCTTTCTGATATGGCAGCTACTGATGAAAGTCATTATGTTCTGAATGTTGCTAATTCTCTCTATGTGCAAAATGGATTTCATATCAGTGAGAAATTTCTGCAGCTGGTGAAAAAATACTTTAGAGCTGAAGTAGAGAATGTAGATTTCAGCCAAAGTGCAGCTGTAGCTACCCAAATCAATAGATGGGTGGAGAATCATACAAATAGTAAGTCCATGTGATTCTTTTGTGTATTTCCTGCAGTGTTTGTGTTTCTGAAGTATTACAGTGATGTTGAATTGTTGCCTTGGCTTTTATCTGTTCCATTTGACTACAGTATCTCCTTGCATAAAAAGAATTCTAGCATCTGTTCTTTGTGAAATTATAATTTTTTTCCTGTACAGTAAAGATCTCTCTTAAGTAATATTATCTGTGGCTAATCATGTAGTAGTATCTGAATATTTTTTCACCTGCCTACTGTCTTAAAGCACCTGTAACATTTACTGACAGAGAATGTTTGAATGGTAGGCTTTTTAATAGTATTTTAATACTGATTTTGGTATTAAATTACAAAAAAATAGGTAAGTACTGTTAACTAACTGCAGACACGTTGTCTACAAAGGGGTTATTGGTGTATGCTTTGAATGGCTGGAGTAGACCTCTAAGAAACTCAGTTACAAGGTAGTAAGAACAGAGTACAAAGGAATACAGAAGATAATTTTAAACCACAAAATCAGACCCTGTAATATAATCTTTTCCAATGCAAGGAACTGTCAATAGGGCTTCACAACAAAAATTTGCAGCAGGGGAATAAACACAAAATTACTGTTGTAAATAAGCATATCCAGATCTGCATGATTTAGGTCGTTTCGCCTGTGGAATCCCAAGTAAGTGACATTTTCTGAATACATGCAGAGTCTCAAGGTATGGGAGTGAGGTTAGTCCCTTCTTGTGGGGATTATCGCATTCTACTTCATCTGACATGCTCTGGAGGTTGATATTTTAATTGTAATTCAACAGGGTCTCACTCCAACATCAGTTATACCCTTGTAAATGTGAAGGTACTGGAATCCTCTGTAATGACTTAACACATCACCATTTAGTCTGAACATTTAAGAGTCCACAATGCTTAATGGAAATGTATGGCACTAAAGTGGAAAAACACCTTATATATTGATTTTATTTCATTTTGAATGTTATCTGGGTTTTTTTCCAAGGAAAAATAACAGCTACTATATTCATACTAAATTCTGCCCTTTATCTGAAGTTACGGAAATAGAGGGAATGGAAGCGATGCAGCAGATTGCAGTGTTTTCAGAGAAACATGGTGTCTATCTGAAGAAAAAGCAGAATTCTTTCTTTTAGAAGGAACGGCAAGGGTTCTCCTACTTAACACCTGCCATGTGCTGACCGAGTTTGTAACCTTCCCCAGGAAGGAGCCATGTAGAGCTAACAAAGGCAGCTATGTGTCCCTTAGGGGTGGGTTGCGATAGTAACAGTCCCTCAGCCTAGTCTCTGACCACTAGATCTCATTCTCTCCTGCCTGCTAACTCATACAGTAGAGGCTCATTTTCTCATTAGAAAAGAGGTACAAGATGGGCAGGTTTCCAGTTCAGCATGTTAAGCATGATGGGAGGGTCAGAGCAGAAAATACAACTGTCCAAGGTTTTTCTGGCCAGGAAAATTCTTAGTGTTACATTAGTGTATTAACAAGATGTGACTGAAAATACAAGGGAATATGATGTATTAAATATAAATAGAAAAATTGGAAGTGTGTTCCTTCTTAATCTTTTGTTTGTTTGTTTGTTTCTTTGTGGTTTTGTTTTTTCTTTCCCACTCACAGAGAGTGAGTTTAGTGGTATTGGTCACATCATTTCTAAGAATGCTCTAGATAAAATGAAGTACAAATAGCGACCCAGAAGAAATACTGCCCTTTGGTACATAAATTTCACAGCAGTTAGTGTCATATGCTCCAGAAAGCAGAATTAATTTTTATTTTAAACCATGGATTAAGAAGTAATAATCTGAGAAATGTGTTTATTTTAACACGTTGCATTGCAATATCAGTTAAAAATAGAAGTAAGCAAGAAAGCTATCAGAAGTAAGCTGTAATTCTTTAGGAATAGTGACAAATCAGACAGTGCACCAAATTTAACTAAGTCTAAATTATTCTGCTTAAAAGCAAGTCATTTAAGATGAATTAAAGCAGGTAACAGACTGTATTCTGATGTAAATGACTTGGGAGTTAGGAGCAAAGCAGCTGCCATGCTCAGCTGGTGTACCTCCCATGAATACAGCAGATGCTAAATGGTTGGGGTTTTTTTGCTTTTCAAGAGCTAATGTCAACAGAACAAATGCTATGAATTTATGGGGGATTTTATAATTATTCCGTACTTAGAAGTCAGTAGGACATTAGTGAAAGTGAATGCTTCCTTCAGAATTGGCCCAGGTGAAGGTTCCAATGGGTACGCTTATGCACTTGAAATAAAGCATATGTTTTAAGTGCTTCTTTGTATTGGAGCCAGAGTTTGTAGAAGTTTTGATGTTAAGACAGTAGTGCTGAGCTGTATTATAGCACCAGTACAAACATTGCTTATGTGACCCCTTTTCCACTTTGTTCCATTGTGTGTATATTTAAGTAGTGATCAAGAAACAGTTGACTTAGCATGTACTTAATGGAAGGGTTTACACACCTACACTGTGATTTAGGTTTACAAACATTGGCAGTTTAATTTGAGATTTAATGAAACATCTGAATTGGAAATTACATGGTAGCACAGATTATTTTTTTTTTTGCATTTTTCAAGCTGTCTTAAGTTTTCATTTAATGCTCAATTTGATATGCAGACTGACACTTGGTTTTCTTCTTAGATATGATCAAGGATTTTGTGTCTTCAGGAGATTTTGGTTCTCCAACTCATTTGGCTCTCATCAACGCAATCTACTTTAAAGGCAATTGGAAATCACAGTTCAGACCTGAAAATACAAGAACTTTTTCTTTCACTAAAGACGATGAAAGTGAAGTGCAGATTCCAATGATGTACCAGCAGGGAGAGTTTTACTATGGTGAGTTGGAGCTTTAGCAGCTTTAAAGCTAATAAATCTTTCCTGAATAGGTATGTTGCAGTAATACTCATTTGTGGTGTTGTCTGTTCTTTGACCTAGAACTTTAAATGTGGTGTTTTTCCAGTGAAATATCTCTGGTTTTTGCATCTTTTTGTAGTGTGTGTTCTTGTGTCTTATAACTAGCTAGCAGCATCTATAAAGAGCTCTTTCTTGATTATTTTTTAGGTATGTGTGTGATGCCACATGGTGGATTTCAGAATGTTTATCTATTAAATCTAACCTCTTTACAATTCTTGAGCTAGTCTTGCTTCTTGCAAAATATTTTTCTTGTTCTGTGCTAAATATTTAAACAAATGTTTGCTTGTTACTGTTGTAGTATCCTTAGGGAGCTAAAATAGGGGTTCTTTGAACAGCAGAACAAAGGATCATTTTTATCTCTAGCTTGAACGCCGAGTGAGTTCTACAGTGTCTCACACAGCAGTATTTTGCTCAGTCTCGTCATTGAAAAATTCTCTTGAATAGAAAACTGCCTGTTTCCATGAAAGTCTTGACAGCCTTAACAACTTTCATACTTCTCTCTAACCAATGAAGGTTAGGTAATAGGTTCAGAAGTGTGATTATTTACAAACTGTGTGATCGCTTGTTTCTGTAAGAAAGCAGATGTAAGCCTCAAATCTTATGATGAAGACACCAATATAAATTTCATACAGAAAAAAGAGGGTCACTTTTGGTTCTATACCTAGTAAATACTGCCTAGTGTTCGCCTTCTATTTTTTCCCTGTCTCCAGTGAAAACAGAAGAAAATACTTCTACTAGCTTTTGTTGTTGTTTTTCTCTTGTAGGAGAGTTCAGTGATGGATCCAACGAAGCAGGCGGTATCTATCAAGTTCTGGAAATACCATATGAGGGAGATGAGATTAGTATGATGATCGTTCTTTCCAGACAGGAAGTTCCACTAGTCTCATTGGAACCACTGGTTAAAGCCTCATTGATTAATGAATGGGCTAATTCTGTAAAGAAGCAAAAAGTGGAAGTATATTTACCAAGGTGAGAATATGCTCCCATGTCAATAGAAGGGGAAAGACTGCCTTCAAATTGATCGGAGTAGCAGAGTAGGTGAAACTTGAACACCTTGAACAAGCCTGCAGTTAGGTAGCACCCACATGAAGGTTGCTTTGACAATAAAGTCCAGGGTGTGCAGTGCCAGGTGATCATTGTTTGAGCAACAGATGAGCACTATGTATTTGCATCCTTTTCATATATGAGTTCTAGAAAGGAAAATTTCGTCATTGGGAATATAGCCATTCTGAATGATGTTCACAATATTGCAGAACTCATTATGGCTAAGTTCCATTTAGACAGGAGCCATAGAAATATTGTAAGACTGAATTAACAAAAGCTAAAGTGTTTCATTTAGTTCCTAATTAGATTTCTATATGCTGCTAATTTTAAAAGTTGGTGTGTGTCTGCGTAGATACAAATGGTTGAGTGTTGAGAAGTAATTCCAATCAATTTGTCTTTTGTCTGTTTTCTTAGTTGTAATAACTGATGCTTTCTCTTTTCTTAGAGGAGCAATAGAATAGCAAGATGTTGCTACCAGAAGGGACGCAACTTCTGTCAGTTTATTTGTAGACATAAGTGGTGTATGCTCTGTAACTTATTTGCCCACATCTGTCTCTTAGTTATCTTGCCCAGAATTTGGTTCCATCTGCCTTCAAGTATTTTTCATGCTTGCCCTACACTTGACTTAGTAATGGAGTTGTTTACTACTAAATGTCACTGATGTATAGTTGGATCATGATGTCCTTTCAAGTGATTCATAATGATTTCATTAAAGTGTTTGTATAACAATATGGCATGAATTTGATGTGGATCACTTCTATTTATTCTACTCTTTTGGCACTGTATAGTGAGTACATGGCAGCACTTAAAAATGCTTTAGATGGTGTTGAAATAATGTTTTCTTAGGTTAAGGTTGTTTTCTAAAACAAAACCAAAACCAAGCAAAAAAAAATCAAAAAGAAAACCACAAAAAGAAAAGTTTTAAGTGAATTGTTTTAATCATTAAAATAGTTTTTTGTTGCCAGGTTACTTGCAGAGTTGAGAGGGACTTCAGACCACTTTCAAGAAGGTAACTGCAGCTGAGCACAATAAAACAAGGCTAGCCAGGATAAATTAGGTTGAGATGGACTCCACTGTGGCATGCTCCAATTCCAATTCAAGGTGGAATTTGAGTTCTCTTTTAAGCTCTTATGCTTAGTGTCAGAGTAGCAAGGGAGCAGCAGCATCTTGGGGCTGGTTTTGACTGTCCCACAGAAAGAGTTCTTCTCTTTTTTAAGCAGCATTTACTGTGAAGAAGCGGGAAGAGCAGCAAAGAGCTGCACTGCAGGTTTTATACTAACTGTACACTGTTCCTGTGATTTTTATTTGTTTTTCTCTTGGAGCTTCAGGTCCCAGGAGCTGTAGTATTAACAGTCCACTAAGATGCAGAGAAAGGGCATTTCTCCTGCAGGCTTGGGCAAATCTTAATAGATGTTAATGAGAGGTAAAATATGAGGGTTTTTCCATCCCTTAAGCTTTTCTTTTATAATTGGAGCATATCGCACCCTGTGCATCAGGTACTGAAGTTGGACATCTTCTCTCAAAGAATTTCTGGTGTGCGACATTCACAACAGAAGTCTCTCTGCGTGGATTATATAGGAAATCCATAAAAACTAGCTTCCAAATTCAACAAGCTGAGGCATCTAAAGTTAAATACATGAATGTAATTGAAAACATGTTATTTATGTTTATATCATGAATTAAATTTGTAGAGTTAGTTTGGGGGTTTATTTGGTTTTAACCAAAAGCAGAGGTTCCAGGATTCTCTGTAGCCGGGTTCTCAGACATGAGTTCGAGGCCTAGGTTTTGTGTGGTCATAAAATGTCCTTATTTATTCCATCCACATGCTAGTCTGTCACTCTTACCTAAGAATCTCAAAAAATTTGGGAAGCGTTTCTGAATTAGGGCTATACAAAGGCAAAAAACTTACAACCACTTGCTGATTACCGTCAGTATTTTCAGATTATAAAAGATGACTGTCATGAGCTTGAAATTCCATATAGTAAATCTGCAGTTCCCTTACAGAAAATCCAAACATTAATTGCATGCTCCCAACGTGTTGGGATTTCTGTTAGGGATTCAGAGGTAATCTACAGGATTTTATCAATCCTCTAAATAAAAACTTCATAAATATTTAATATTCTGACTCAGAAAGGCATGTTATGAAATGTGGCCTGCAGGCTATGTCCACTGAGAAATTGAAAGCAGTGGAATGGAATTAAATTTTTATACCCTGAAAGATGCTATCCAATTATAAAGTGAACATTTTTTAAACTTAAACATTTGTAATAGGACCTGAATGACTAGCCAAAGCAGAAGCAGAATTAATCACAACTTTCCAATTTCTGTCTGCTTTATCTGTGTGCAAATAAAATTGTGTATTATTCCTCTTAATAGCAAAGGAGAGATTGGTACAGAATTAAGTTATATGTTCTCATTTTCATTTTCAATCATTGTTTCCAGTTTAACCCAGACTAAAGTGATCAACATTTTAATCCACTTTTTGCATAGGAGTGAAACAGACCATGAATCTAATTTACAAAGGTGTCTTTCTAACAAAGATTATTTGAAGAGCATAGGAGAAATTAGTGTCTAATAACAGGGCTAAAGTCTGCAGATGTTAAGGATTGCTACAGTATGCCCGCCTCTCCATAATGATTACCTTGCCTTTTTTTTACATTTAAAATACCATATAAATGCCTTAGATGATGTTGAAATGATAATGCCCTATACAAAACCTAAAGGTTCAGATACATAACTAAGGAGACTGTCAATGACAAAAATGCATCATTTTAATCTAATGTTTGTGTAAGTTTTAAATTTCATGAAAATACCATAATTCTGTGCTGAACTGTTTGTTAGTTTCTCACTCTAATTCTGCTTCCTAAGTATCTCATTCTGTTCTTTGTTTCATATGGGAGAAATCCAAAGATGGTGGAAAACAAGGGAAATATTTTTGTTAAGCTGTTTGGGCTTCATTTTACATGTAGGAAATAGAGAGACTTTACAAATGAGCAGTGTAAAAATAAATATAGAGCTAACTCACATGTTCACTTCTCCTTGACTTTGGGTAAAACCTGGTAGGCAGAGTTACTGTCCTTTATTAATTCCTTTCTGGTCTGTGGAAGCATACATCAATGAATATGTATGTTGATGAACCTTCTAGAACTGCTTAAGTGTAGAAGGTTTCCTCTTGACTCAACAGACTAGTCATTCTGTTCTGGTCCTATGGTGAAAATCTCTCATCTTATCTTCAGTGTCTGTTTCTCAGAATTCCCTTTGTAGTTTCTAATGCTCCCAGTTGCAACTATTTCATGACTTCTGAAACTTCATGACTTGAAACTTTTTTCTATAGTATTTTTAAAATCAGAAGCACCTTGTTTGTTAAAAAACATATGACCAGCTGGTTTATTATATGCGACAAACACTACAAATAATCATGTGTCAGGACTAGTTTCATGTAGCTTGGCATTTCCAAAGTCTGAGGTACAGTAAATGCCTGGCTTGGGAAATGAGACTGAATGTCTCTTACGTATTTTAGGTTGTCAGCTTTGATTTTGAATACCTACATCGCTGTCTGTAAGGAATGCAAAAAAATCCAAATATGACTGGAGAATAACTCACACCAAATTTTTACATCAGATTTCATAGCCTGAAATTAAATTCCAAAGTGTAAAGCAGCATTATTATTGTTCAAAAGAGGATAGTTCTGATGTCAGCTAAAATATTTGAGATGTCGTTAATACCTTATCTGTAACTAGCTGAGCTTCATAGCATGCGAGAAAGGAGGGAGATACTGGTTTAAATAGTGGTTTAGAGTGGGGGTTTTACCATATGACAAAAACAAAAGGGGAGAAAGGAAGTAATTAGTTTTATTTTTGTAAAGGGATATTTTGGTATTTATACAGCTGATGTGATATTTTTGGTGTCCTTTATTTGCATAAAAAGTAGAAACTCACTTGTATAGATATTATAGACACCTTTGCTCATCTTAATACATTTAATTCTAACTGTGGTGAAATAAAAGCCAAAAACCGAAAAATATACCACTGTGAAATTTTTATAAAATACATTTTAATGTGCATTTTTTTGTTCTGTTTGTAAGGTAGATAACAATTGGATGTCTTTTTCGAAATGTTATAGTATAGTTTTAACGTAAAAGGAAATACTTCTGGATTTATTCACTCTGGAGTTATTCAGTGTGCACAGTCAGGACCTCTGTACTGGTTAAATCTAACTAGCATTAGGAATCGAATCTCAATTCTTCTATCTTAAGTAAAAACCCTAAGTCTTTAAAAATAGATCTGGGCATACCTTACAGGTGTGTAGTGAGAGTTAAAACTGGTCTATAATTTTGGAACCTAGAAGCACTCAACAGAGAGTTTGTGGGTCAGGGTTCAAGGGAATATAGCTATGGGAGACATTGCTGTGGGGGTCTGTTACAGACCGCCTGATCAAGGAGAACCTGCGGATGGAGCACTCTGTAGACAGATAGGAACAGCCTCATGCTCGCAGGCCCTTGTTTTTATGGGTGACTTCAACCACCCTGACATCTGTTGGAAGGACAGTACGGCCCGGCACAAGCAATCCAGGAGGTTCCTCGATTGTGTGGAAGACAACTTCCTTCTGCAAGTGATAGAGGAGCCAACAAGGAGCGGTGCCATGCTTGACCTCGTGCTCACCAGCAGGGAAGGGCTCGTTGGAAATGTGATGCTCCAGGGCAGCCTTGGATGCAGCAATTACGAGATGCTCGAATTTGAGATCCTCAGGACAGTGAGAAGAGCGTGCAGCAAGCTCACTGCCCTGGACTTCAAGAGAGCAGACTTTGGCCTCTTCAGGAACTGGCATAGTAAGGTTCCGTGGGATACAGCCCTAGAGGGCAGAGGGGCCCAAGACTGTTGGTTGATATTCAAGGATCCCCTGCTGCAAGCTCAGGAGTGTTGCATCCCAACCAGAAGGAAGTGCAGCAGGAGGGCCAGGAGACCTCCTTGGATGGATAAGGAGCTCCTGAGGAAAATTCAGATGAAAAAAGAGGCTTATAATAAGTGGAAGCAAGGACTGGCGGCCTGAGAAGAATACAGGGATGTTGCCCGGGAAGCTAGGGACCGAGTTAGGAAAGCTAAGGCCCAGTTAGAATTAAACTTGGCTAGGGGTATTAAGGATAACAGGAAGGGATTCTACAGGTACATAGCAAATAAAAAAGACAAGGGAAAACGTAGGCCCCCTCAGGAAGCTCTCAGGAGATCTGGCTACAGAGGATTTGGAGAAGGCTGAGGTTCAGAATGACTTCTCTGCCTCAGTCTTCACTGGCAAAGGCTCTCACCACACCACCCAAGTCTTGGAAGGCAGATACAGGAACTGTGAGAATGAAGACCTTGCGCCCACTGTAGGAGAGGATCTGGTTCAAGACCATCTTAAAAATCTGAACGTGCACAAGTCCATGGGACCTGATGAAATCCATCTGCGGGTCCTGAAGGAGCTGGCAAATGAAGTTGCGAAGCCGCTGGCCATCATAGTTGAGAAATCATGGCAGTCAGGTGAAGTTCCCAACGACTGGAAAAAGGGAAATATAAGCCCCATTTTCAAGAAGGGGAAAATGGATGACCTGGAGAATTACAGACCAGTCAGTCTCACCTCTGTGCCTGGCAAAATCTTAGAGCAGATTCTCCTGGATGGCATGCTAAGGCACATGAAAATCAACAAGGTGCTTGGTGACAGCCAGCATGGCTTCACTAAGGGAAATCCTGCCTGACCAATTTGGTGGCCTTCTATGATGGGGCTACAGAACTGATGGACAGGGGTAGAGCAGTTGATGTCATCTACCTGGACTTGTGTAAAGCGTTTGACACTGTCCCACACGACATCCTTGTCTCTAAATTGGAGTGACATCAATTTGATGAATGGACCACTGGGTGGATAAAGAACTGGCTGGATGGCTGCACACAAAGAGCTGTGGTCAATGGCTCCATGTCTGGCTGGAGACCAGTAAAGAGTGGCGTCCCTCAGGGATTGGTGTTGGGACCTCTCTTGTTTAACATCTTCGTCGCTGACATGGACAGGGGGATTGAGTGCGCCCTCAGCAAGTTTGCCGATGACACCAAGCTGTGTGGTTCGGTTGATACCCTGGAGGGAAGGAATGCCATCCAGAGGGACCTCGACACACTTGTGAGGTGGGCTGATGCCAACCTCATGAAGTTTAACCATGCCAAGTGCAAGGTCGTACACCTGGGGCAGAGCAAGGCCAGGGACAGCTACAGGTTGGACAAAGAAGAGATTCAGAGCAGCCCTGTGGAGACTTGGGGGTGTTGGTTGGTGAGAAAATGAGCATGAGCAGGCAGTGTGTGCTCACAGCCCAGAAAGCCAACCGTATCCTGGGCTGCATCAAATGGAGTGTGACCAGCAGGTCAAAGGAGGTGATCCTGCCCCTTTACTGTGCTCTTGTGGAACCTCACCTGGAGTATTGTGTGCAGTTCTGGTGTCCTCAACATAAAAAGGACATGGAACTGTTGGAACAAGTCCAGAGAAGGGCCACGAGGATGATCAGGGGACTGGAGCACCTCCTGTATGAAGACAGGCTGAGGAAGTTGGGGCTGTTTAGCCTGGAGAAGAGAAGGCTGCGTGGAGACCTCATAGCAGCCTTCCAGTATCTGAAGGGGCCTATAGGGATGCTGGGGAGGGACTCTTCATTAGGGACTGTAGTGACAGGACAAGGGGTAACGGGTTCAAACTTAAACAGGGGAAGTTTAGATTGGATATAAGGAGGAAATTCTTTCCTGTTAAGGTGGTGAGGCACTGGAATGGGTTGCCCAGGGAGGTTGTGAATGCTCCATCCCTGGCAGTGTTCAAGGCCAGGTTGGACGAAGCCTTGGGTGATATGGTTTAGTGTGAGGTGTCCCTGCCCATGGCAGGGGGGTTGGAATTAGATGATCTTAATGTCTTTTTCCAACCCTAACTATTCTATGATTTTATAAGCCAAGGAAATTTGAATGAATGAGCAACTTATAGATTTTTCTCTTGAGGCTAAAACCATGGATAACATCTTGAGAACATAGTTTTTGACCAGTAGTGTGTGTGTCCAGAGCTTTCTAAGAAAAGAAATCTAACAGGACACATCCCCATTTTCTAAAATCCTATTGAGTGTTTTCAGGTCATCTCATGCAAGTACCTACATGTCATTCATTAAGGTAATGTCTTCTTGGGTTTGTTTTTGGAGTGGGTTCTTTTGTGTTTTTTTTTTAAAAAAAAAAAACAAACGCTGCCACACTGATGTGGAATATGCCAGAACACCATAAGAAGGTTCCTCCAGTCCATAAATTGTTGTTGGTCTCTTCTGATTCTTTTGAGAGCTGTCAAAAGAATAAAACCACAAGAATTAGTCCTTCTGGTTTTATTCAAGGCATATACTGGAATACATACGGACTGGGTACACAAAGACTTGCAATGCCACCAGTGATTTATCAATGCTGAGCTATCTCCACATCTTATTTAACGTGCATAAAATTCTTCTCTGGGCAATGATTAACATCTATTCCATCATAGATTTTTTTGGCTTCTAATGGCATTTCTAAGTTCATTACAAATGTAGATTCTGTATTAGATTTTTTTTTTTTTTTATTCTGTGTAAATGTTGTAAGTGAGGAAGATCCACTTGGCTCTTATCCAGTTGCTTTTTGATGTCCAGAGTATTCTTTTTCAAGCTGCTAAGGCTTTCACATGCCAAGGTGTCGCACAGCTTTTCATCAGCTGTTCTCTGCTCAGAGTTCTGGCTATATTTTCTCCTGAAAAGATTATGTTCTTCCTTGTAGCTGAGGAACCTTAATCCTGGAGAAGGAAATTGCACAGAAGCACCTATTAATTTATTTAGTTCCAGCACAAGTAAGATCTGTCAGCAAGGACTGCAGTATAACTGCAGAATTGTTTCCGACTGAACTGCTAGCTGGAGAATCTGTAACAAAACCTGATGGACTATATTTTGTGGTGTATAGTTATAACCAGTCACTGTCAGGAAATGTAAATCACTAATAATTTGATAATTCTACAGAGAATCCATAACTCTCCCATAACAAACATTTATGATTAGTCTTTTGTATTTGTAGACTTATAGTATTTTCTGGTTTTCTTCTTTTTAATATAATTCTGACATGTTTCTTTGTTTCTCCAGCTCTTCAGTCTGTTTCTGGCCACACACAAAGAACTTGAGTCTTTTTTTTTTTTTTTTTTCTTGTCTTACTGACACTAGGCATAACTTAAAATGGTTGAAGAGCAGTCTTTATAAACAGAACAAGCTTTTGACCAAAATCTTGCCCTCAGGATAAATCTCGTTTTGTCCTTCTAGCACAGTAACATAACCTAGAACATGGCTTTGCAAGCTAACCCTGAAATCCTACCAGCTTGTACTCACATATGTATTTGCATTAACTATTTGTTTTACCTGTTCTTTATTCACAATCAAAACCCAGTTAAAGTTTTGCCACAAGAGTAATTAGAAGCTGAATCAGAAATGTTTTATATTCATGTTCATACCTGCTGGTCTTTGCTTATATTGTCTAAACAAAAAGAGTATCCTTCTTTCCTACTCCTTTGCCATCAGCTTTTTCATGAATTTGTGCTGTTCTTTGCATTATTTGATACTCTATTCTAGTATGTGTACAGGTAAAGTCAGTTTTTATAATGGGTTGTATATGAAGTAAACCTGTTGTATATGAAGTAAACACTTACGTTAGCTACTTCGTAATTTTGCACTGAGTTTTTATCGTCAGGGGGTGTACCTAACCTTAGCATATTTTTGCTTCCGCATTAGGAAAAAAAGAACTGAGCCATACGAGCAAATTAAATTGAAGTGTTTTCATAGAAGGTGTGTCACTGTAGTACTAGCACTGAATCTACATTACTTACCTCAGTGTTTCAGTTGTCGTTACCTCACTGTTGTTATTGTCATAACAATAAGCTCTGCTTATGTCTGGGCTTTTTTTAATTTTCTATTAAATTCTCCAGGTTCACAGTAGAACAGGAAATTGATCTGAAAGATGTCTGGAGAGGTCTCGGAATTACAGAGCTGTTCAGCAGTAGTGCTGACCTCACTGCAATGTCTGGTAAGAAAGAGGTTCTTGTGTTGTCTCCAGGAGTATGAGGAAGTACTGAAATCACGTAAAGATAACAAAGCTCAAACCAAAACCTGCTAGCAGTTTTCAGATCCTTCATTACTTTTGTATGATGTAAGAGTGTGCTCACTGTAGGAGCAATTGAGACAGAGGACAAAACTATCAGGGGGGTGTATTTGAGGTGTGAGATTTTTGACCTGGGAAAGTTCACTCTGAGTATTTCAGAATTGAATCGATTAGAAATGTAGCAAAAGTATAATATGATGCAAGAGGCAGGTCCACATTGGAGCAATGTATGTCTTCAGTGACTTGATGGCAAATGGGATTCACACAGCAAAGGGCTTGTCATCTTTAATCTCCAGAGGCTGTTTTTTCATAGCCTTAGGAGCATTAAGCTGTTGTACAATTAGTCATCTCCCCAGATACCTGCTTTATAGAAGCACCATAGGAAAGAAAGAGTTCTGATAAAAGCAATTTAGTCATGTATGTTGACAACACTTTATTTTCAGAAGTTAACATATTCAATGCATTTAGAAATTCAGGTGCAAATGAGATATTTATGCTTTTAATACCTCCTAAAAGTTATTGAAGTGGCAGAAAAGGTAATTGAGTCACCTTTGCCTGCAAAGTGGTTTTACTTTTGTGTGACAAAAGTAGCCAACAAGCAGTGTATTTAGCATGGTCTGTCTACACCCAAATTTTGGTAAACCAAGTTGTTCTCTATCTAGAAGCATGCGCCTGTATGAAATTGCTGTCATTGTTCTTGTAATACTTGCTTATATACCGCTTCCTGTATGGTGCTCTATGGATTACTGCCTAATTGGCCAGATAGACCCTTAGCTGATGGGAAATACCTGTCCTTAATTTCCTGTCTCTGGAAGCAAACACAGCTGGGTGGTTTATTCAAAATAGTGGTAATGAAGGCAAATATTCCTTTAAAATCTACAGCAGAAATATTTGCAATTTTCATATCCTTTTTATTTTTGCTGTTTGAAATATTGTTTATAGTATATCATGTAGATTATTCCACTGTTTTGCTGCTGTGAAAGTGAAATTGTGGGAAAAGCTAGAGTTAGACAATGCGCAAAGAATTTAAATAAACAAAAAATCCTACTTTAAAGAAATACCATTTTTCTGAAGAAAAAAACCTTCAGTTTTTCTGACACCACAAATAAAAGCAAGCTTTTCAATAAATTCTGATCTATATATGTTATTTGCTGGAGAAAAAGTACTATGGAGAATACACATGGAGCCTGAACCACCAAGTCAGTGTTTGTCTCTAATATAAAATGTCATGTAAAATTCACCTCTATATAGGGGACTAACTCTGTGGTGGAGAGGCTAGCAGAAAGATTGGAATGTGCTTGTGTTTTAATCCACATGACTAATGATTTGTTTCATGTTGTACATTTTTGACAATTGTTCTGTACAAAATCAAAATATCATGTTTTGCATGACTGAATTAGCACCTCTGCCATTTAAAGATTAACTTGTTTGTTAAGTAATGCAGAGCACTGTATAGAGAGAATTTGTGAGTGGTACTGTAACTTTCTTGCTTTTCACTTAAAAGGGCAGGTGCTGCTAGGTGATGAAAAGGTCATTCATTAATTAAGAATTAGAACATATTTTTGAAGTAATGTCTTTAATGAAAACCTTACTATTGAAGCTATGGAAATTAAATTTTAAGTAATTAAAGACAGAATAATTATCCTATTTCTAGTTTCCACAATGTAAAATGGGGAGGGAAGAGGAAGGGGGGAAAATGTGAAGAAAAATGCTGAAAGCATGACGTACATGAATAGTACGTCAGTTAACAGGGAAGTTTGAAACCAGTAGTTTGCATGCATCTCAGTGTCAGGCTTCTGGAAACTTCATGACACTTCCTTAAACCTTAAATGAAAGGTTTACATTTTGAACAAAATGTTTGTCCGGGCACTTAATTTAGGATGATAGCGAATCATAAAAAAAAAAAAAATCTAAAGAGATTTTTGAGAAATTCTGATGCTTTTTAAAATACCTTCCTTCCCCTCCCATTGCTCTTGCTTTTGGATTATTGTCAAGGAAAGCTGCCTGCAATTTCAACAATAGCCATAATCCTACAATCGGATCCAGGCACAGATTGTTGACTTCAGTGGAATTCTATGTGGGTTTAGTGGATATAAATCAAATTGCAGGATTACAGACTTATTTTTCAATATTTAGAATTTTTTGCTTTTTGCACTTAATCTGAAAAAAATGGAAATAGACAAGTCAGCTTTACCTTCCATGGTGTCTAGATTGGTAGCAGGCAAAGAGAAAGTATTAATCTAGATGCACATTTTAAATGTTACCCTCTTGCAGAAATTGTCAACACAGGTGGGTAGGAGGACATTCCTATTTGGCTGTCTAATTCATGTATTCTGACTCTCACTTTCAGCAAAAGGCTTTAACAGGTTTTGCTTGTATCTCTGATTCTGTCAGGTGTACAAAATAATCTTGAAACAACTTCTAGTATGTGGGGTTTTATAATTTACACAGCATGGAAACTTTCTATTTGAGTATTTTGACACCACTTACAATTTACCCTTGAACTAATTTAAATACTGATATTCCCCTTCTCTTTCAAATGCTTATATTATTTCTTATTGTTGTATAATGCCTTAAATGGCAACCGCCTTTAACCTCAAGGTGACCTGAATTTCTGTGAGCAGCACAGTGATATTAATGAGTTACTTTCATAATATAAAGTAATTAGAAGAGCATCAGTAAATAGCTCTTTGAAGTCTTGACTGATACACATATAATTTTTCTGGGACAGCCTAAGCTAGAAAAGCCAATAAACCTGCATTCTTTTTTAAAATGAGACTTGAGAGCAACCAGTTGGCAGCTGTGAGTAGGAGTTTGCAAGCATATGGAGTGTAATGACAAGTGAAGTGTGATGCTAACGGAGTCATGTACATTAGAAGTAAGCTTCAGATTACTCCCACACGTTAATGGATATCTAGGCTGTGGTCCTGCAGAAAGCTTAAACTTTGATACTAAATCTCCAAGAGACTTTTCTGAGATCCTAACAGTCAAATCATATTGGTTCTTATGAAAATCCAGATTCAAAGAAGCTACTAGAGAAAAATGACATCATAGTAGATACTCAGGTAAGCCCCACCTTATCCGGCAAAAGCCATAACAAAAAGATGTGTAATAATGACAAGATGGATATGATATTGAGGTATTTCAGTCAGTGATTTGACAATCAGAGAACAAAGAGAAAACTACCTGAATACTCAGTGATGACATTATGCTTCGATGGGAAAATAGAATCATTCACTTCAGGGAGAGATGAATGAGAGGGATGTGATAGTGGCAATATAAAGGGAAGAATCTAGAGAAAGTTAAGTGGGCTGTGGACTTACTCCTTTCACCATCCAAGAGCAAAGGTATCCAATGAAGCGAAAGTCAACAAATTAAAACCAAATAGAAAGTATTTCTCTTATGGAAAACGTAACCACAGAGATCATTATTGGGTATTCCTTGAGGTCATGAGATTGGTGGGATTAAAAAAAAATGCTTCAGAGCAATCAAAACCATCTATACTACACTTGAAGAAAGGCATTCTGTATATTCAGTGGATTAGAAACTTGGGCAGGGTATAAGGCATGTGCTGGGTGAGAGGATATTTTTCTCTTCCAAGTTGTGCTGTAGTTTTTGTTTGTAAGGCTTCTTTAACCTTGTTATGAAACAACAATAATGCTATCGCTGGCACAGTATGCTAAGCTAATTGGACATACTGGGCTCCTCTGTAGTGGCACTTCTTGTATTCCTGTCAATTTAACAAAATGTTGGTGGTTTGGTTTTGGGGGGTTTGGTTTGGTTTGATGTTGGTTTTGTGTTTTTTTCTTGTTGTTTGGTTTTGTTTTTTATTAATACCCAGATATATTTACAAGTAAGCCTGCTATTATATCTGGTGGTAAATATTAGCAATGTTTATTCTGTCTATAAACTTGTCAGATGGAGACCACAATTCTGAGATGCTAAGAGTTCTGACCAGAAATATACCTTGGAGTACCATAACCACCACCACGCTATGCAAAATAAAGATTTCAGGAATAAGATATAGAGTACTGCTGTGAATATTACAGGTAACAGGAGCAGGCCTAAGTGCTGTAATCAAAAAGGTGATCGAAATACATGATTAAGCAAAGTGGGTAGTTCTTTGACTGTCACTAAACACAAAATTTTATTTGGGTTTACAGTAAGGAACTCCAAACCAGTATTTTTCCATAAAGGCTGCAAAGTTACTTTTTTCTTTTGGTATGTGCAGTATAGCTCAGATGTTTAATAGAGCTTTGAAATGGACTCATGCAAGGATAGCAAAATATAGCTTGATAGAAGGTGAAATATGTAGGACTGACCAGTAAACTCACAAAGAATCCTGGTAACTGACATGTTCACAAAGGCAACACTCTCATAGCATGAGACATGCACAGCAGGAATTACCGATTTGTGGATCTGTTGCCCTTTTTGCCTTGCGTATCTATCCATTGTTACCCAAGTACTCTTGCACATCCAGTGTTTGTTCTAAAGCAGTTTTTGAAAACTTGAGTCTTAATGGGTCCATAATGGAATGGAAGCTGTAGGGGATGATGACTATTGAACACCTGATTGTACCATTTACTTAGGTTGTCATTTATTCGTCACAGGTAATGCTTGAGGTTTAAAGGTGGTGTTAGTGTTGGAACCCAACCAAGTTATGTTTTCAGGTGGCCTTTCTGTTAACAGTTACAGAGGCAAAAGCTGTGAGGATTGTGTTAAGTGTTCAAGATGCTGCAAATCCTTTGTTTTAAAGTAATGCAGTTGGAGCTTGCAGTTGGAACTTCATCCTAGCTTTCAAGACAGCATTACTGAAGGTTTAGAAGTGAAGCCTAGAACTACAGTTTTTAGGATTCTAGGACATTTTACTACACACAGTCTCAAAGGGGATGACTTTGGGCTTTTGCTGGTGAGATTGAAGTTAAGCATCTGGGCCAGGAAGCTTAAGAGTGTATGTAGGAGTAATGAGATCTGCTGGGGAGAGGCATTTTAAACTGTTGTCTCTTATGGTTTTAGCTTGCATTAGTATTAGAACTAGTGGTTGTCTTTGAGAGCCAAAATAAATGGGTAACAATTACATGAATGGTCCCAAGCTTTCCTTTCTTAGTCAGCCTTCAGCTAGTTTTGGTGTTGAACATTTTGTGAAGGATCAGAAATACACAATGGTACAGCTGTCTCACTGGGGTGATTAGGTTAGATTTTCATGGTTGTGTATCTCCCTGTTGAGAAAACCTTTATTCCTTTCTTAACTGCCAGTCGTGCTCTGTCATTACTGTGGATTTTATGCAGGTATGGTAAATGTATATCTAACCCTTATTATGTCTGATGAAACTTAGTCAGACAGCTCAAATGGTGTTACGTGTCTTGCTTCCTGCAAGTTCCTGAGGATTACAAAAATCTGATTATTTAGTCACTAAAGAAAAGTAATGAAACATCCACTGAATTGAGTAGGCTTGGACCAAAAATATTGACAAAGAAGGATTGAAAATGAACAACTGAAAAGCACCTAGTTCCATGGCAGTTTTTGCATTAACTATTTATCTTCAGCTTCTTTTAAATATAATTACAAGGGAGAAAATACCTAATTTTGCTGGAGGAAGTTTATATTGCACTCAATGCAGAAATAAAATTATTTGTTACACGCATTTGCCATATAATGTCATAATCATTTTTCCCAGTACTTGCACTTAAAATCTTCTGTTAAGGGATTGTCTTCTACTCTGTCTGGTATGCTGGTGCTCTAGACAGTGCCAAGCTATTTTAATACCATAGTGTAGGAGAGGGCTACAAATTTCAGTGAGGTAAATGGTGCTATTTTAATAGTATAATAAATAGTATTGGCAGAAGATATTTTAATGCAACTGCTATGTACAAAGCTCTTATACTTGCCTACTTGGGACAGAAGGTGGGCAATAGTCTGGGGGGTTTTGGTAGTGTTTGTGGGGTTTTTTAAATACTTCAGTCTTACTGTTGAGCCACTTGAAGTATGTTTCCTTTTCCTCTCCAGATAACAAGGAACTTTACCTTGCAAAGGCATTTCACAAGGCATTTCTAGAAGTTAATGAGGAGGGATCAGAAGCTGCTGCTGCCTCAGGTACCTGATTGAAAAGCAGAACTAAATCTAATGTCTGGTTATTTTGTGTTAGTTAATTTTTCAAAACTGACTTGCTGTAAGGGCAGAAGAGCTAAATAGCATGTAGCATGAAGACACAGCATAGCTTGTATACTGCTTTTCAGAAGAGAATTCTGGAAATTAAAAATGTTAGCTTTTTTTTTTTTTTGAATGAGGTGTGTGGCGCAGTTTCTTTTCTGTGGAAAGATTAAAATCTTCCTTCCTTTGCTTCTAATTGTCAGGAGGGTGCAGACTGCAGCTTGTATTTTCTTTACGGAACTTCTGTATTCATAATTTTTTATCTGGTAATTGAGATGGCCAGAGGCATTTGATCCAGAATAGTTAAGAGGAGAATAAGAGTTGTGGCAATTGCACTTTTACAAGCTTGTACACAGAGATGTAAAATTTGAAGCACTAAGTGCAGAAACATAGCTGGCTCTTACTCATGCTAGGAGGCCAGGTAGTTGGTGTACTTGGTTATCGTATGCTTTTCCTGAAAATAAGTTACATTAGTTGCTAATATGTATCGTTAGGTGATTTCTAATTGCCTCTACTTGTACCAGTCTCTGAAGAAAGGAAGAGTTACTTCCCTGGTTATGAATGTCAGTAACTGGGTTAAATTGTAACATGTACATCATGTAATTAATCTATCTGACTCTTCAGTTAGATTTTTTCATGGTATTTCGTGGTGATACTTAGTGCTGAGTGTGGGACTTCAGTGTCTGTTCATGAGCTTCACAAGTATCTCTCATGAAGAGTAGATGATGTGCAGTGTTATTTAACAAGTTTTCTATGTTCTTCTTCCTTTAGGAATGATCGCCATTAGCAGAATGGCAGTGCTGTATCCCCAAGTTATAGTTGACCATCCCTTTTTCTTTTTGGTCAGAAACAGAAGAACAGGTGAGAATAATGCAGACTCTTCCACATTTTTCGCAGTGCATCATCAAGTATACAAAAGAAAATCACGTATTTTGATCAGTGAACTGGCCTTATATAATAAATTTTCCTTAATTTGCTTTAAAATACCCAATATTGAAAGATTCACCTTTTCTATGTCTCCTTAATGCTTCTCCAAGTAAGGTATCAAAATCTGACATAATCCTGGAAAATATTCACAGCTCTGTGATTAAAAACTCCAGAGAAGAAAAATTCACCATTTTTCCTCAGAGAACACAGTGTTATTGCCCTGAATATCTATAATCACACATTCTGTGAGAGCTTCGCTGTAGTAAGATGAGTTAGATATGTTCCTGATACTAAATGATTTGCATAATAGACAGATATTAGAGCTATGAATAATTCTGTTGCGCTCTTGAAGCGTTCTGTGGCAAGCAAGGGAATAGAACAGCACTCACTAGCAAACTGGGCAATGATTAAGGAATTCCTTAGTTTCATATTTGTAATTTGTTTTAATGATGTGCATGTGACTGGATGACAAAAGATTACTATGCATCCCCTGACTATCATATGTGTGTTCCAGTATTTTTTCATTTTCTATAAGCAAACTGGTAGCTTCAGTTAGAAGGGCTTTTTTCCTATGTTTGAGATCCCTATCATAAATATCAACGTATGTTAATCCATTTAGATTGCACTAATACTTACAGCGTAACTAGGTAGAGTCATTTCTGTACAAGGAATGATACCAGCTCTTGCAGTGTTTTTAACCAAATCTATGTTGAGGATCACTGCTGATGTAGACCAAATTAAGCAAAAATGTTTCTGAAGGAGGAGATATGTTCTTTTCCCTACTGTGGTGGTCAATATACAAAATTTTCCTCAAAAAGAAAAGTTTAAATCAGAACAGAGTAGAGCTTGGTAGTTTTTATGCAGTTCTTAATGTTCATAGGGGTTGCTGTTGCATGCAGAAAGAGGAATTGCCAACAACTATAGTTAAATCCTGAAAGCCTTTTGCTAATTTAGACATCTGAGAAACCTTTTGAAAAAACAATCTATGATGGTTACTCTTCTCAAGAATACCCTAAGTGTTCGTGATTGATCACTGTATTTAAATAGGTTAGAAATGTGTAAAATAGGAAAGATGTAAATGGTGATTAAACAGTTTAGAGGAGCAGTATTTATATATGAGTTCCTTGTTGTGGGTTGCATGCTCTAATGTGGAGTAAATCTGTGAACATGAAGTATCTATTAATCATTAATTGATTGGTGTGGAGTTTCTGGGGCTCACTTGTAATTCTGTGAGGAATGATGTTGAGCAGGCATGTGGGGCTCAGAAGTGCTCAATAAGGTTTCTCTGGTTAGGTATTCATATTTCAGTTAGGGCCAGCTGCCACCTTTGAAGCACCCCAGCCTACTGTGTCATAACCACTAAGATGTCAGGAACAGTACTTCATAGGCCCTCATCAGAACCATTGAAATGAAAGTGAACATTTCTGTTGATTTGTGATGGGTTTTCAATCAAGCCTTTAGAATAAGCAGAGGGGCACTGAAATGCAGAAGACTTCCATATTCTTGTCTGTCCTGTATCAGTTCTGAATACAAAAAGGTCCTCTTCTCTAGGGGTATTGATCCACTGCCTTTCATGGCTACTAAGTCCTCCAAGGCTTATATTCCTATAAAAATTGTGAATCACATGCTCTCTAACTTAGTATTCATCATCTTACAGCCTCAACTTTTCCTTTTGGTTCTGACATTTTCCCTTCATTCCTCCCTTTCGACAGGTACTGTGTTATTCATGGGAAGGGTAATGCACCCTGAAGCAATGAGTGCAAGTGGCCATGACTTTGAAAAGCTTTAACCACCACCAGCTACCAAAAGAGGAGATAAGCACATAAAGTTTGAAGTTAATATGTTTAAGGTTTTCTGTGTTTTCCCACAAGATATTGTTTAAAATGCTTTCAGATCTAACTGTGCAAGTCAATTTCCAGAGGAAAGCTTACAGTATTACAGTAATGCTTCTGTTTCTGTCATTGTGATTGTTGTGTCCTTAAAATAAATTTGTGTACATGTCAACAACTGTTTCTTGTTCTAGAGAATTGTAAAGCAAAAAAATGCAAATCCATTACTGCTAATTTTTTTACAGTCCAAAGACTGACTTGCTCAATGAGACAGGAGTGGAATGTGTGCAGCTTTGAATAATGCAAATGGCAAACCTTGATGATAATTTATAGTGTTGAAGAACTACATCTGGAACATGTAATAACTTCCTGTTCCTGTAAAAATAGTAAACAGATTGCAATACACTGTCTCATCAAAGTTAATGGAACAACTTAAGCCTAGTCAATTTTATTCTATAACATAACCTGTGGTAGACTTTGTGTGAACTCTCTCACATGTGATTCTGAAATGTTGCTTTTATGAATGCTCCTGCATGTTACTCTGCCGTTGACCTTCCAGAACTGTTGATGCCAATAAAATTTGATTGCATGAATATTTGAGACTAGTCAGTGTAGAATAGCTATGTATGTGACTGAAGTAAAATAGTTGAATAGTAACGTCATTCATGTGAATGTACTTTTCTCCCCAGAAGTTGTTGTTCTACTCTAATCTAAGCTTTGCAGTATCTCATGAGATCTAGAATGAGCTTTCTTCAAAGTAAAACAAAAAAAAAAACGTAATTTTAAGTGTCTAAAAATGTTCTATTCATAAATAAATTCTAAAGGAACAACATCATTCTTCTGTTCCCTAACTTTTTATTGTGAATAAAGTGACAGAGAGGAGAGTGACACATACCACAAGTAAATACTAGCAGGGGAATTAGTTGTTGTTTCCATTTACAAGAGGAGAAGTACCAGTTGTCATGGGAAAGGCATATAATTATTCCTCCCTCACTGTGCAAATATAAAGTGAACAAATGTTATTAAAAAGGTAAGAGAGAATAGGAGGAAAGAAGGGAGGAGCTGCTTTGAAACATATCATAAATACAAACTTTTGAATAATAAGTGGGTTTCTTCTCAGTCAATAGGAGTTTTCTCTTTTGAATTCTATGGGAATAAATGTGTATTGGCTGAACTTTAGTTGCAGGCTTCTCTGGCATATATTCACTTCAGAACAGCATAGATATTGCTACCAAAGTTATTCATGCAAGAACTTCCAAAATCTGACACAATTTTTATTTTTTTTTTTATAATGCTGGTCGCAGGTTAAACTGCGAAGTGATGATGTTCTCCGTGGAGGCTGATTACACTCCCTCAGAAAGGACATTTGAGCACATTTCTAGCCCTGCCTCTTTGCATTGTTTAGTTCTGTTGCACCGAAGAAAAAATGAAGCTTCTTAGTGTATTAGTGCTGCTTATTACCCTTTGTGTATTATAGTCTGGATTTGGTGAGACAGGTTTTGTATTCAGATTTAGACAAAAGAAGTGTAATTTTTATTCTGTATAGCTAGAGATGTTATGCTTGGGAGGGAAAACAAGAGCGCTTCTAAAAAGGAGCAGGGAGTAATTTTATCAACATGTAGAACTAGTCTCCCTGAAGGTAAAACCAGCTCCCTTGACACAAGGGTTGGTTCTTCATCTTTAAATGACTCTATGAACATCATCTAACATCTGTAAAAGTAACCCATGTGCTAAGGATCTCTGATTTTAACCTTATGGGAGCCTTATTTTTAAGCTATTACATTTTTTTTAGGCTATTTTTTGAGATTTTCACTCTGATTTAGAAAGAAATAAGAAAGCAGATGACAACCCTCACTCATGTTGTTTTCAGTTCATAGAAAGTTCTTCCAGACCAATTTTGTGTTTTCTTTGCATTAGTTCCTTGCAGCATAGATGTTTCTCACCAAGGGAAGGATTGAAGATAGACTGGAACTAAAGCTGTGGAATTACGGAAGGACAGCTGCCAGTCAGATTTATAGAGGATATCAGGCAAGTGTACAGCCTTCCCTAGCAGTTAGGCTGAGCATAGGTGTAAGTGGAGTGATGCAAAATTGCATATTCCAAATCTGATTTTGAGAATTACCTAAATGGGAATATGGGAAAACCAGCAGAAACAGAAATACAAGCACTAGTTATTTTGCTTCATACTCTCCTAGTCTTTACAGATACAAAATAGCCATTTCATGTTTTTTTGAAAATTGAGAATTACCTGGTTTTCAACAACATGAATTGATTTATTAGCAAATGATGCGATGATGTTAGTTGTAGACCACAACTAGAACAGCTCACAGTACTGGTTTTAGTCGTGATAGTATCTTAAGTATTGTTACCAATTTATTGAGGTACATGAATACTATTCCATTGTGGGTTTTCATCTGGATTTTGTATAATGTTCCTTTCAAAGACTCTATTGCTTTTCAAGACAAAACCCAGCAAAATAATTTTGTCTTTTTGTGTTTGGTATTTTGTAATGGGAATTTGTCAATAGTAGCTCTTAGGTGTGTAGACTTACAAAAAAATTTTAACAATTGTATTTTGTGTTGGAAGCTATATCAGAAAATAAATTACTGAAACTTCTATAGTTGTGGCTGTGTAAGTGACCCATGATGTGACACTGTCTACTGAGATCCTTCTGTGATGCAGATGGAGTTAAAACATGAAATGCAGTTGCCTGATGCTATCATCATCTTCTTTCTTTCTTGCATACATGTGCTGGAGTCCAGGTGGAAATGCTTTTCAGAGCTGCAGTTGGAAAGAGTAGTTTTCCTATGAATCCTTTCAGTAGCAGTGCTGCCACTGGAGACTGACTTATTAAATAAGATCCCATTTGTACATGACCTTGAACACCATGTTTTCTATATTAGTGCTGCATTCTAAGAAAAAAATTGTAATGTTGTATAAATTAGAATGGTTTTGATGCTGTTTCTGGCACTAATTTTCACTGTCCTTTCATAAGCCTTGATGGTGGCAACATAAACTGTTGTCTACATTTCTCTGATTCAGGTGTATATTTCTAAAAAAAAATAAGATCTTAGTGCTATACCAGAAACAAACAACAAGAAGAAGAAAAAAGTTAAAGCTTTTATGGCTAATTTTTATTTTTCAATGCTGGTCAAAAGAAGAAACCACAAGATGTCACTCTATCCTAAGAAGTTGAGAAGTACTTTCCTATTGACAGTAATCCTATGTAAGTGTTGAAAAGCTGAATATCCTAAATGGGACTCAGTATATTTAAGTTTTGGTAAAATTAATGAGAGTGCTTGCGTTTGAGAGCATAATTAGACCCCGGTGCCTGAGATTAATAATAGGCGGCAGGGGGAACAAACCCCCAGAAAACTTGCTTTGTGTTGCAGCCTTTTCTCTGGTTCTCGAGAACAGATTGCTGCATTAAGTTTGTTGCTCACAGGGGACTTTTTTTTTGTCCAGTTGATAGCCTGCGCGATTGCATTGTGTACTTGGTGGGGGGTGAAATAAAATAAAAGGCCTGTTCTTTCAATCCATCTCCATGGACAGCAGTAGAGCTGTACTGTGGTTACTTCAGAAAGTCAGTTCTGCAACAGGAGACATTTATTTTGCTACAAGAGAGAAGTAACTGGGGTTAAAATCCTTGATATGACATTCTGTTGTTGTTCTCTTTTTACTTACCTTTCTTTATTTCCCCTCTCCCTTGTTACCTTACATACACTCACTAGAATTTCTGCAGGAGCAGATTGCCAGTCTGTTCTCCCCTTGTACATTGAGGTTACACCACTGTCAGTGTTCTACTCTCGCCCTGGGGAGGAGGCAATATTGTTCCTTTGGGGATTTTCTAAAACAGACAAGATATACTTCAAAAATGGTGTTTACAAGTGAATTCTTGAGTTGTTTGTGTCCCTTTTAATGGGCAATCTTTGCTTTGTCCTTACACTGGAAAACAGAAATATGTGGATTGAAGAGAGATGGATAATTTACCCCCAAACCCCAGTGCCAGGGAGGAGGAAAATTGTACCTTAGTAACTCAGATAATACCAGCAAGAAGCGAGTTCACTTCCTGTGTAAACTACTCTGTATCTATGATGAGAAATCATAGATTAATTTAGCTTGTAAAACTCTGCAATTCCCAGGAATTTTGGATCAAGCTGCAGTAGTTACAGGGGTCCAGACAGAGTGAAGATTTTGCCTGCCACCTGGGGACTTCTGTTAACTGGTTCAGTAGCTTGCCTTTCGCATCCAGCTGGCCTTGGTTAAGGACTATAAACCAAAGTTGCATATGGGAAACCATTTGCGATACGCAAGCATATTTGGTAATTTAAACTCAACAGCACTACAGCTCTGTTAGCCCATCTACGAGGGCTTCTCAAATGGTGTTCTCTTTATATAGTACTGCTCTTACAATAACATTCACATGAATGTTTTTCATTTCACAGCATTAATTAGAAGCCTGAGTCATGGACCAGTTGTTCTAGGCATTAGGCAAACTGAATGAAGACAGACAAAAGTCATGTAAGAAAATGCAGTTTAAATTGCAGTTTATAGACAATAGCACAGTGCAATAGTCAAGGCTGTGTAAAGCTAATGAAGGATATCAGATTTATTCACAGTCACTCAAGCGGGCTGGTAGATGGGAGAAAAGTGGTAAAGATAAATGTATTATCTAAACAATAGGTGACTCACACTTCACTGATAAGTTTATTTACTGTCTCTCTCATAAACCTGTATCTTCTTTTCCATATGGAAGAGTCATCTTCTGGGCAAACTGAAGGAAGAATTCCTACAGAAAAATGATTCTGTATTTGTGTAAAAATGCTTCTGAATGAGGAAACAAAAACAGAGAGGAAAGCTGATTGTGTCTAAATCATGTTGTCTGTGCTCCCATGAACAGGTTAGAACTGGCCATAGAAAAAATCCTGTTTTTTCTTTAAGAACAATTTCTTTAGATGGGTTTCAACTATTCCTTCAAGTATTCTAATGCTACCAAAAGTTTAGACCAAATCATGGTTTAACATTTGTACTCTATTTACATGTATTTGTTGAGTCATGTTTTAAAGCCAAGTAACTTACACTGCTAAAATGCTTACAAACAATAACTGTCTGGTAGCATTGCATGAACAGAATGAAATATGTCAACACATGCTAAGGAATAAGACATCAAGAAGTCCATCTTGCCCTGAGATCTGTAAGGATCATGGTCTGGACAATGCTAAATGTCACCAGTCACCAGCAGTCTGATACAAAAACCTATTTGTTTCAGGCTTTTGTCATTGTTAATGTATGTTGTAAATGGAATGTTTCTAAAGGTAATAGCCAGAAAGCTGACATATTTTAATGCAGGAATTAATAACATTTCTTAAGTTTATTACAACACAAACACTGGTCTTAAAATTCATTGGCTTTCTTTGGAAATGTTTATGTTTTTTTGGGTCAGGCTGCAACTTGGAATTCCAGTGTGTAGTAACAGTCTGTCGTTTCCCTGTATAGAACACTCCTGCCAACTCTGAACCAAGGATATGTCTTCATCAGCTGAGCTGCTATAAAGCCCTCAGTGAAACCCACAGAGAGGTAAAAGAGGTCAATT